ACTCTTCTACTGGCTCGAAGCCATGGTGCTTTGGAAAAAATACAAGTGGAACCACCCAATTTCTTCTGCAGATCAGTTCACCATAGTTATTAAAGTGGTTGCTCTCATGTTTCTCCTCATCGTATTATTCTTTCTGTGAGTATCTCTGCCTGTTCATTTAGGAAGCTACTATACAAGTATTCAATGCAAGTATTCATTTAGGAAAAGCCAGAATATGAGTGTTCATTTAGGAAGCCAGGAAGTATCTCTGATGTGATAAAAGGAAGTAACCTTTCTTACCATCATATCAAGCCATATCTTCTCTCATCCATTGTGGTCAACACGGAGGCACAATAGGGAGAGAAAGCACATATTGCTGCTTACATTCTCAAATTATTTCCTTTAACGACCTTGTTACATTTTGCTAGATCTGCAAATCGTTTGTAAAAAATAATTGATTGTTTAAATTTACAAATTGTTATTGTCATGGTTTGACCTATGATGCATGCATTCGGTTGGGAATAAGGGTACACAGAAGCCAACCCAGAACTGCACAGCCTGAAGAGAAAGATGGAGGAACTGCCCAGCCTAGCTGGATGCTTCGAGGCTTCAATGAAGCTGTTGAAACTTATGGGCTAACTGAGGTTCACATGGTTGGAGGCTCTTTTACTTGGAGAAGGAGGAGGATCCTTGAGAAACTTGATAGAAGGCTTGCTTCTGCTAGTTGGAAGGGGTTATTTTCTCGGGCAAAAATTCAATTGCTACCACCGCTATCCTCTGATCATAATCCTCTATGGCTAGTTCTTGACGGACGTAAGGAGCGCATGAACTCTAATCGGAAAAGATTTCGTTTTGAAGAAATGTGGTTGCGGGATACTGGTTGTTATGAGGTAGTTCGGACTGGCTGGCAATCAATTGAAAGGGAGGGCAGTTGGAGCTGCCTCTTGCAGAAGGTGCGTGAGTGTTCGAAAGGCTTGGAGTTATGGAATTCCAAGCAATTTGGCCATGTGCAGCAGCGTTTAAAGCAGTGCTCCAAGAGACTCCAGGATTTGCAAAATCAGGTATGCTTGGAGGCAACGAGTCTTGTAGAAAAACGCATTCTGGATGAGACCGAGAAATGGTTGGAAAGGGAAGAGATTATGGAATTGAATCGTTGGTTAAAAGAAAAAAAGAAAAAAAAAAGGAAAAAAACAAACAGAAGGAAGAGAAAAGAAACGTAGTCACATAATCATTGGATAGCAGCTATGTCGGTGGTGAAGGCCCAAGAAATGTTTTATCTGAAATTTCTCTTTCTTAAAAACCTGCTGTCAAAGGTTGCCGATTACTCTTTAAAAGGAGAGTTCAGGAGGCGATTGCTCGTTTGTACAAACTTCAAACGTCACTGCTGACCTAAGACATGTATCTCTGTCCAATGAAAATGCTGAATTTTTTATCTTGAATTTGGACTTCTATCGAGCAACATGCTTTGCAGTTCCATCCTGGAACAATTCTGGTATTATTATATACTAATTTCTTTTCCAATTATAAATATTGTTATTTAAAAAAATCATAATATTCTCACTCAATCATAACTAATATATAAAATATAATATAAATCTTGATTTTTTCTTTTCTGGTATTATTATTCTTCCCAAAAAGAAAAAGCACTATAAAGATCGCTGTTTGTTGTCACCCACCCAGATCAAAAACCCTCAGAAAGGTCCTCCTTCTCACAATTCCAAAGCTTCCTCTCCTCTAATAAAAGAATCCCATTTGTCTTCATTCTGATAGCAGCAGTATGGAATCCTCATCCTCTTCCCTTCCACTCAACGGTCGTGTAGCCATAGTAACCGGAGCTTCCCGTGGCATAGGCCGTGCCATTGCCA